GGCAAGACTCACTGACGATGCCGGCAAAACGTCTGGGAATGTACCAAGTCCGAGGTTTGACTCTGGAAATTTATCCCGCATACTATGGACTCTGGACAAGGTCTTCCTGCCAAAAGGATCAAATTGCGAAAAAAAGCCAAACAGCCTTTATCTGGTAGATTGGAGTTGAGCACAATCTACTCGGCAATGCTATATCATGCCTATGGGAGTGTGATGAGCTCAGTAAGAAACCGGGAAGATGAAACGTCCAGGCTTCTTCAGTTTCACATTCAGCCAGATCGCTAATTGCTTGCAATCAACTCTTCCTCTGCAATGAAAAGTCGACTAAAATGTGTCGGAGAGTGTTTGTTTCAGCTCATGGCAAGTCCCTCATTTTGCGCAGGAGATGCGTTGCCACATTTTCCTCACTTAGTACTACATTAAATTGACGTTCGGACGCCCAATTCGCCCTCGAGTTGAGCGGTCGAGGCGAGGTCCCCAGACTAGAGTCCCTATCATCACTACAGAATGTCGCATTAGTAACCTGAAATTTGCATGGAGCTAATCGTCCCGAACGTCCTACGTTCGAGGCCCGTCAGACTAGCCTGCTAACGAGCCGGCATCACAACCGTCTGATGCGCTGTACATGCAAAGCTTAGCTGGGCTTCGATGAGTCCCCCAAGCTAATAGTGATTGGGAGACTTCCATTTCGCATGGTGAAGAGATTCGAGGGTCGATCTCGCCGCAAGACGACGGTTGATCCCCGCTCTGCAGCCGTTTGGCTATAATATCTATGCTGGATATCAGAGCTGGGACGTATTCTTGTAAAAGTATCAAGTTAACATGAAGTCAAAAAGACCTTGTGTTAACTTGACACTTTTGGAAGAATACGTCCCAGCTCTGATATCCATCATGAGATAGACGAAATCACAGTTGAACGTCCCATTAAAGCCAAACGGCTGCAGAACCGGGGTCAACCGTCTTCTCGTGGTGAGATCGACCTTCGAGTCTCTTTTTGATGCACTCTAAAAAGAAATGAAAGTCTCCCCAGCATCTGAGGCGGAGGCCACCAAGGCCACTTAACCCATTCAGGCCACCGGCTCGAACCACTTTCCACTCGAACTGATTTGCACTGCTCGCAAAAGTCCACTTGCCTTGACTACACGAGACCAAACAGAGGATACCTGTCCAGGCAACGGTTGCTGAGTCGAGGGCTCGCCTCGGCCGCTTCAATTTATGCCCTTGCGTTGCGAAGTCACTGGACCTCAACAACCAAGCCTGGCAGAATCGGCGTCTCGGGCTCGTGCCTCATCCCCTACTCCAGCTCCCCCATCGGCCTCGTTTCACCTCGTCCTCTGTACGCCTCATCTCTGCCGGCTCGGACGCACGCGCCCTGTTTTTGTGGGCAAGCGACGCGAGTAGTGAGTGTAGACTGACCAAATGGAAGCGACACGAGTTAATGACGCGAAACAACAGCCCGGCTTTCGCCCTACCGTCACGAACAAGTCTGACTGGCTCGCGCATGGCGATTATGAGAGAAACGACTCATGCATCCCTCACGGCGTTGTTCTCATCCGCTCTCCCCGTCCACATGTACACGGCGTTCGCATTTTATTACCATTATCGAAGGTGTTCAGGTGCTCGTTAGGGGATTAATTTGTGTAGCCTACAACTTCGCCGGGCCGGGCAAGCACCGTATGTGTACACAGTTGAGGCTCTCCAGGCCTGGCAATTGCGAGCGTCTGAGTCCGGTTTGTCGAGGCCCTCGGCGCGAGATATTAACGCCCCAAACTCTGGGTCATATTGTGCGCAGTCTCTTCTCGGATGGCAGTCACTTTACTCCCCCACCTTTGGGACGATCGCAATCCTGAGGAGCGGAATAAGCGCAAATTTTATCACCCAAATGTGTATCAAGAAAAAGTTAGCCGGCCACTAGAATTCGATTAGCTTCTTGTGAATCCACTCTCCTGGTAGTCTTTAGCGAATTGAGGCATTCAATTTTATGCTATTCTTCAAATGCCACTTATCGCCCCTGGACGGACAATACGACTTTCCGACACTCAAGAACTGTAAACTCCGATCTGGAGTCACTCATTCGAATCCAGGGCGCGCGCGGAAAGCGAGTAGAGGAATTAAGTAGTCTGAAATAAGCGGTGATAAAGTTCAACCTTGCCTCGAGTTTCGATAACCCTCGTTTACAGAGTTGGTTGCCTTGACAATGATGACACCTTATCTGCACTTATTTTGCCTATTCTCGGTTATCTGCTAAACCGGACGGTTTGTTGGCATGGCAATATTCCAAATCGATTATCAATCACCGCAACAAGACATGGCTACACGAAATACTAGGTTGGCTCTGATGTTCAGCCCAGTGCGACAGTTGATTCGGGGGAGACTCGGAATTGCAAAATGAAGCTGACGCCAGAAGCAAAACCGCTACTATTAACTTCATATCTGCTTGTATTAACTTATCAATTGCTTCTTTTTAAGCTTAAAAATGCGTAGGCCCAGTTGGAGAAGGTAGATATAAATACCGAGATGGTATGGCCCTTAGCAAGTCACCTGTTCGGCACTGGAAAGCTTGAATGATATGGCAGAGGTTTCGCTGCTGCCTCGCCAAATTGTGAAAGTGAAGCTAGACCAAAACTATCTGGGAGACCTTCGTCTCGTATGCAAGTGCACGTAGGAGATACTCGTAGATTGATCTCACCAGAAGACGACGGTTAACTCCTGTTGCACTGCAGCCATTTGGCTTTGATACAGCGTTCAGGTTGACGCAGTCCACGAGACATCCGCATTCGCTTCAGATGAATACGGGCTGAGCTTTCATCCATCATATTATGCACAACATCAGAGCTGGAAGCCATT